TTCTTTTGTTCCAATAAAATTGGTTTAAAATATTAATTTAATTTAATTTACATATTAAAAAATAAAAATAACAATTAATATATATTTTGATTTTATAAATTTCATAATATATTTATTAAAAAATTACTTTTTAAAAATTTAAGTTAAAAGTAAAAAAATTATAAATTAAAAATTTTAATAATTGAATCGATAAGTATCATATATAATCATTTACTTACTCTTTATAATTAACTACATACCTAATAGAACCAACTGCACTTTTATTATAATCAATTACATTGCACTCAATTTTTTTAACAGGAAAATTTAATTTTCCAAAACTAAGCCAATCCATCTTTAATGTGACTTTCCCAAATCATTTTTTTTTTATAAGAAATTAGATACGAAACAACCCTTAACGCAAGTTTCATTTTGAAAATTTCCTACCGCGGAAGTAATATATAAAAATATTGTTTTCTTTTTGCCAAAGTCAAGGTTGTCTTGTCTTAAAATTAGGTGCTGATTAACCATTGCCCCTACTTCACGCGGACTTGAAATCTCTAGGGAAATTTATTTGTTTTTATAATTTAAATTATATTACATTTTAAAATTAAAGTACCGAAATTGACATTTAAACTTTAAAGGTTAAATGTTAAATTTAATCCTCAACTTTACAAAATACACATTTTTGGTCCCTTAATAATTTTTTTCATTTTTTTAATCCATCGACTCTAAAAATTGCATATTTTTTATCTCTCTGTCAATTAAGTATGATGTGGTAGTTAAATAATTTCATGTGGCATTATCTTTTAATTTTTTTGATGATGTGGCAATAATATTTATTATAATTATGTTATATAAATAAATAAAAATATCACATAAATTAATATTTATATTTTAATTAAAAACAAATAAAATTACCTTATTACCCTCACCCTCCCAATCCCTCTTCTTCCCTTTTTTTCTTTCTCTTTCTTTCTTTCCTACCCTGGGTCTCCACCAAGCTGGATTCCGATGGTTAGGTTCGACGAAACCGAGATCTGTCGAGTTCCGTCGAACCCAGCCTTGCTGTCCACCAAGCTGGATTCTGATGGTTGGGTTCAACGAAACCCAAATCTGCTGGGTTCTGTTGAACCCAGCCTTGCTAAGTTCGTCAAGACCGAGATCGGCTGGATTCCAATGAACCCAGCCTTGCTGGTCGCGCAAACCAGCCTTGTTGTTTCAACGCTGGGTTCATGTTTTTTCATTCTTCTTTCGATTTTTATTCCTAATTGTTAATAAATTTGGGAGTTGATTTATAATTTGATTACATTTTTTTTGAAATTTGATTAGAGTTTGATTGTATTTTTGTTGGAATTTGATTAGAATTTGATTGATATTGTTTATTGAAGGGTTAATTTGATTTGATAAGATCTATTAGGTTTGAGTTTCAATGAAACCCAGTAGCTGGAATCAATGACAGAGAATTCCAAATTTCTCAAGTTCTCCTAAGAAAAGAGAAGAAAAAGAAATGGGTTAAGATCGGTTTTGTAAATGGAGTGGAGATGAGAGAGTATTCAAAGAAGAAGAAGAAATGGGTTAAGATCGATTTTGAAAATGGAGTAGAGATGAGAGAGCATTCAGAGAATAAGAAGATATGAGTTAGATTGATTTTGCAGAGAGTGAAGATAAGAGAGGAAGATGACATGTTATAAAAAAAAAGTTCAGATTAGCACCTTTTTAAGTTATTCTTATCATGTCATAAAAAAAAATATAAAAAATGCCATGTGGCAGAGTTAACAGTCCAAATTGACAGAAGGACTAACGGAGTGCATTTTGTATAGTTAAGGGATTAAAAAAGTGTAAAAAATTGTTGAAGGACCAAAAATATACAACTCTATAAAGTTGAGGGATCAAATTTAACATTTAACCAACTTTAAAAAATACTCTACACAAAAACTTAAAAAAAAAAAAGAAAAGAAAAAAAGAATGGAGAAAGTAAAGAAAGTCCAAATCCAAGAGGACCATGGACCGCAACTCGTAGTCAACACGATATGGAAGTTTCCTACTAAGAAACTAGTATATACAAAACAAGTTTTATTTTAGTCAGAATTAAGGTTCTCTAGTCTCAATGTAGAGTAGGTACTGACTAGCCATTGCCCCTACTTCACGCGGACTTGAAATTTTTATGGAAATTTATTTGTTTTTATAATTTAAATTATATTAAAATTTAAAATTAAAATATCAAAATTGACATTTAACCTATTAAAATCGACATTTAACCTTTACAAAATACTCTACACAAAAACTTTAAAGAAGAAAAAAAAATGGAGAAAATAAAGAAAGTCCAAATTCAAGAGGACCCATGCATGGACCATAACTCGTAGTTAACACGATATGGAAGTTTCCTACTAAGAAACTAGTTGAGTAGGTACAAAAAAGGTTTTATTTCAGTCAGAGTCAAGGTTCTCTAGTCTCAATGTAGAGTAGGTATTGATTAGCCATTGCCACCGACAGTAGATGCTGATTGGTCATTGCCACCGCTTCACGTGTACTGAAATCGGACTAATTGGAGGTGATAGAGGAAATCAATCAATACTATGGTTTGACGGACTATAACAGAAATTGATTAATTTTATTAATTCATTATATATTAAAAAATTTTGATTGATTTTTTTTATTAAGTTATTTTTTTAATCAAAACAAAGTGATTGATTTTATCTTGAATCTATAATTTTTTTAAAGTTGGAATTTATGATTTAATATATCTTAAAACACTATAAATTTTAAATTTTAAAG